AGGAAAAGGCTGCCTGTGCCCCAGGCAGAGGCATGCCCAGCAGATCCCTGCCCCCCTCCCCCCTCCCCCAGCACCACCCAGAGCCTCGCCCTCCCCCTGCCTTCCTCCACCCTCCCCCGCCCCCTCCCCCAGCACCACCCAGAGCCTCGCCCTCCCCCTGCCTTCCTCCACCCTCCCCCGCCCCCTCCCCCAGCACCACCCAGAGCCTCGCCCTCCCCCTGCCTTCCTCCACCCTCCCCCGCCCCCTCCCCCAGCACCACCCAGAGCCTCGCCCTCCCCCTGCCTTCCTCCACCCTCCCCCGCCCCCTCCCCCAGCACCACCCAGAGCCTCGCCCTCCCCCTGCCTTCCTCCACCCTCCCCCCGCCCCCTCCACCCTACCCCAGCACCACCCAGAGCCTCGCCCTCCCTGCCCCCTCCCCCCAGCCAGTAGGAACCAGCCCAGCCTCTGAGTGGAGTTAGAGGCCTGGGGGTGAGGGGGAGCAGGGAGGACTCACAGGGGCCTCCATGATTTAGGAGAAAGCGACCTGGGCAGGACCTGAAGGGGCACATCCCTGATTAGAGAGTGAGAATGGGACCCTGGGGCGAGAGAGAGAAATGGGGGTTTGCCTGAAGCCGTGAAGGGAAGCACAGGAGGCCAATTGTTTGCAGTTTCAAGAGCACAGAACGGCCCTGCCCGGCTGGCAGGCGGCAGGCGGGGCTCAGTGGCTGAGCTTGCCCTGTGAAGGAGGAGGTCACAGTGCGATCCTGGCCAGGAGACATGCCTGGGTTTCGGCTTGACCCCCCCCCCCACCCCCGTGTGGGGTGGGGTGTGCAGGAGACAGATTCTCTCATCATCGGCGTTTCTCTCCCCCTTCCTCTCTGACATCCACGGGAATACATGGTTACAAAGGGCTCTTTGTGGGGGGCGGGGAGTGAGTCCATCACAGCAGACACACAGAAGGACGAGGCGGACGGCCAATGGCAGGTGACAGCGGGGCGGACAGACCGGGGCGGGGAGAGCCGGCCTGAGCGGTCTTTCTATCTCTTCTGATCCGGGACACCCAGGAGCCCCTCAGCCCCCGAGATCTTCCTTTCTCAGGGTTCCGGCGGCTTCTGTGCAGGAACAGACGCGTCAGAGCCCAGAGGCGTGCTCTGGCCAGAGGGGCCCCCGGGAGCAGGCTGCCGAGGCGGGGCCACTGCCTGTGATGTGAGGGAGCCCCGGGAAGAGAAGTGGACCCCAGGCGACTGCGGCTGGGAGGGGGGTGAGGTCCAGTCTCCCCTCGAGGAGAGAAGAGGAAGGTTTCCCAGAACCGTAACCGGGTCCATGGCCTGTTTGTCTCCCCGCACGCGGTGCTGTGCCGAGGAGGAGGCTGGGTGGGCTGCGTCACGTCGGAAGGAGGCTGACCCCTCGCTGGCGCGGGGTCAGGCGCTGCCCGGGACCCCGGCCCGGGGGAAGCTGCCCCCACTCCTCCCCCGCGTGTCCCCACTGAGCTCACGTCACTGGGTAAGAAAGGAGCGCCTGTTCGCTGGGCGCGCCCGGAATAGCACACAGGAAGCCGAGCTGCCGAGGTCGGTGATTCCGGGCAGGAAGGGACCACGGCCATCCATCTGCAGCTGGACCGGCAGCCCTGGCCTCTGACCCCGCCTCGACCGAACAATCCAGTGTTCACCGCCGGGGCCCACTTCCTGCGACGCGCAGGCAGAGTCCCACCCGAGGCCGCCCGCAGGCCAGGCTGGCTCTCTGCTGTGGCGGGGCCTCCCCCGAGGAGGCAGGCGTCCCTGTGGAACGGAGGGGGCGAATCAGAAGCGGAGACATCGAGGCCGCAGCTAGGAGTTCCTGTCCTGTCGCTCTTTCCCCTCCCTGCTCCGGCTGTTCGGTTTCCTTTGGTCAAACACAGCCCAGGACCGTCTTGGGACAGAGTGAGAGCTCCTTGGAGAGAACTTTGCAACTACCAGGTTTAAAAAAAAAAAGAAAAGAAAAAAAAAAAAAAGGACTTGTGCAGCCGAGAGCAATAGCAAATATTAAAAAAGAAGTGGATAAAGGCCGGCCAGGGCGGAGCACTGCGCTCCGTTATACAGCTCCTGTGACGGGCCGCAATGACGCGGGCAGCCCAGAGCCGCGCTCACCTCACAGCAGGCCCGCCCGCTGGCCTCGCAGGAAACCTTTCTAATTCTCGGCCCGGGTTTCTGAAGCTGTGAAACGAGTGTCAGAACCACCCGCGTCCTTGCTAAAACTTCCAAGAAGGACCTGCAGTGCCAGTGCCCGGGAGTGTGTGTGTGTATGTGTGTGTGTGTGTGTGTGTGTGTGTGTGTGTGTGAGTGTGTGTGTGTGTGTCTCTGTGTGTATGTCTGTGTGTGTGTGTATGTGTGTGTGAGTGTGTGTGTGTGTGTCTCTGTGTGTATGTCTGTGTGTGTGTGTGTGAGTGTGTGTGTGTGAGTGTGAGTGTGAGTGTGTGTGTGTGAGTGTGTGTGTGAGTGTGTGTGAGTGTGTGTGTGTGTGTGTGAGTGTGTGTGTGTGTGAGTGTGTGTGTGTGAGTGTGTGTGTGAGTGTGTGTGTGTGTGAGTGTGTGTGTGTGTGAGTGTGTGTGTGTGAGTGTATGTGTGTGTGTGTTTGTGTGTATGTGTGTAAGTGTGTGTGTGAGTGTGTGTGTGTGTGTGTGTGTGTGTGTTGACTTTTTAACCAGCAGGTGGCCCAGGAGGCACTGCCTCTGCTCTCCGAGGCCTGCCGGCCCCGGGAGGTCTGTGTTTCTCGGGACCCGGGCTGACCCTGTAGCTGGAAGCCAGAGCTACAGACACAGGCCGTGGGCAGGCATCGGGCGTGGCCCCAGGAAAGCAGCTGAGCCCTGTGCCGGGCAGTGTCCGTATCCGTCCCTCTCCTCGTCCGCCCCTGGCGTTGGGATCGTCAGTGGAATCTGCATGGAAGCGCTTGAGCCCGATACACTGACTTGGTGGAGAGCACAACAAATAATGGCCTGGTTAACAACCAGGTTATGGGTAAACAGGTTAGGTAACCAGCTCGATGGCTCGACAGCCATGGTTCCTCAGTCTGTCCTTGGAAGGCAAGAGGCAGTTCTCAGGGGTTCGCTTTCCCAGGCCCCTACCCCCGTGTTACCAATGGCTGCTGGAGCGAGTGGGTGAACGAAGAGGGGATCCTGCAGAGCGGGCTGGACTCCCAGCCGTCTCAGGTGGAGTGTCCAGCTGCCCTGGCCTTGCGAGCAGGACCCTTGGACCAGTGCTGATGGCTTTAAAAATAATATATATTTTTATTTTTTAAATATATTTTTATTGATTTCAGAGAGGAAGGAATAGGGAAAGAGAGAGAGAAACATCAATGATGAGAGAGAATCATCGGTTGGCTGCCTCCTGCACACCCTCTTCTGGCGACGGAGCCTGCAACCTGGGCCTGTGCTCTGACCGGGAATCGAACCATGACCTCTTAATCCCGTGGTGGGCAAACTGCGGCTCTCGAGCCACATGCGGCTCTGTGGCCCCTTGTGTGTGGCTCTTCCACAAAATACCACGGCCTGGGCGAGTCTATTTTGAAGAAGTGGCATTGGAAGAAGTTTAAGTTTAAAAAATGTGGCTCTCCAAAGAGATTTCAATCGTTGTGCTGTTGATATTTGGCTCTGTGGACTAGTGAGTTCGCCGACCCCTGTCCTAGCTCATAGGTCAAGCTCAACCACTGAACCTTGAGGGCTGGGCGGTGGCTTTTTTAAAAGGCTTGCTCTTTGTTGGGGTGGGATGGGGGGGGATTGCCTTGGGAACACGGGGACATCCGTGGGTGGGGAGGAGGTGGGGGAACAGTTCCCTTCCGGGAGGGAGAGGTGCTGGGAAGGAATGTCCTCACATGTCGGCCACCTGCCTCTGAGAACGGGGCGCGGGTCCCGGCAGGCTGGCCCAGGTGGTTCTCCCCGCCGGCTCCACAGCGGGATCACCTGCGTCTCCGAGGACTCTTCTCTGCGGGACTCTCCAGACCTCCGAGGAGAGTCTGAGGGTGATGATCTGGGTGGGGCGGGGTGGGGAGGGGGCAGCATTAGCTCCTTAACTCTCTGGGTCTAAGATAAGGTGACCAGACGTCCCGATTTTTAACAATTTGTCCTGCGTCCCGAGGCGTTTTTTAAAAACAGTTAAATTGTTAAGAATCGGGACTGTCCCGCCAAAAGTGGGATGTCTGGTCACCTTAGTCTAAGAAGTCACAAGGTGGGTGACAGCGTCCCGGATATGTCCAGCTGCGTTAGTCTGAGGCCCGCTTCGCTGCTGCTCTCCGGGGACCCCGAGGCCACGTCCCCTGACCCTAAGCCAGGCTCGCTGCTGGAAGAGGAGGAGACCACCAAGGACTGGGGTGGGAAGGCAAGGCCCTCCACTCACTGGTGTTTCCCAAACGCCCCGCACTCCCCAGAGATTTCATTCCAAAGGCGTGAGCGAGCCCAGGACCTGTCTTTTTTTTTTTTTTTATAATAACTTTATTTTATTGATTATGATATCACACAATTTGTCCTCATCTCCCCATTCTCATACCAAACCCCTCCCCATATACGCCCTCACCCCCCTGTTGTCCATGGCCACTGGCTAGGCCCATATGCATGCACACAAGTCCTTTGGTTGATCGCTGGGACCCTTCTTTTTAAGTCAAACCCAGATCCTTTCTCAGAACTGGGGAAGGCTGGACCATCGCGGCCCAGGATCCTTTTCTGGGTCCAGGCCATAGACAAGAAACGAGAGTCCCCGGTACCGAAGTCAATCTGCGGCCACACCTCTACCCCTGTGCCCGCCTGCAGGTCCAGGGTTAGTGCTCAGGTCCCAGACGTGCACCTGGGGGCTCTGGGCCAGCCGGGGACCCCCGCCGGCTGGGGGGCCGCCTCTCAGAGCCGCTACCTGAGTTGCACGAGCTCCCTGCGAGCCCAGCCGGCTGCAGCGCGCCGAGTCATCCTTTCCAGCCCGGCTGGAAAAGCTGGACCGGCCGCCGCGTGTGCTTTCCTGGCAGCCGGCGCGGGCCCGGCCACATCATCCCGGGGCGGGGATGCGCGCTCGGGCCACGTCTGTGCAGCCGGCCGGGCCGCCCGGGGTGGGCGAGCGGCGGGGGGCGGGACCTGGCCGGGACCCCGCGCGGGCTCTAGGACCCGCGGGACGCCGGAGGGCGGCGGGGAGACAGAATTTCAGAATTTGCTCCGTGGGGACGGGACGGCCGGCGGCCGAGGGCCCGTCTCTCCGGCTCCCGCGCTCTCGCTCAGGACCTCCCCGGCCGGGCCAGCGCGGGCCGCCGGTGCAGCAGGGCCAGCCGCTCTGCGGAAAGTTTGTGAACGTGAGAGCCTAGCCCGGTCCGGAGCCGACTCCCCCGGTCCCCGGGAGGGAACCCCGGGCCCGCCGCCCGGCCGCTCGCCGCCCGCGTGGCATGGTGCGCGCCCGCCGCGGGGCACGGGGAGCCGCTGCCGGAGGCCGAGACCATGGCCAGCCCCCCGCCCGCGCCCCCCACCCGCGCCCTGCTGCTCGCCCTGGCCGCTGCCCTGCTGGCGCCCCGCGCCGCCGCCCGAGGTGAGTCCCGCCGCGGCTCCCTGCCGCCCGGTCCGGGTCGGTCCCGCCCTCCTCTCCCTCCGGTGCCGCCTGGGTCCTGGGGGCACCTCGTGGGCACTGGGGTGGGGGCGCCGGGGAGCGGGGCTGCCCGGCGAGGAGCGCAGCGGGGCGCACGGCTGAGCCCCCGGGGCTCCGGCTACCGGCACAGAAGGGACCCCCACCCACATGGCCAACCCACCCGCCCGCCGCCAGGTGCCAGTTCCCGGAGCGGGAGGGGGAGTTGGCTGCGGCCCCAGCACGTAGCCCAGAGGCTCGTCAGGGCTTGCCGTCGCCGGGAGGGTGCCCCCGGGCCAGCTCACCCTGTCCCTGGGGGATGTCCTGACGCCAGGCCCTGGGCAGACTCTGCACAAGGCTCCCTCCCACGGCTTCTCCCTTCTCTTAAAACGGACTTGTTTTCTGTGGTTTTCTCTTCCTCTCCGTTCATCCCGGGGCGCTCCTAGCGGTCCGGGGTGGCCAACCCTGAGCAGAGTTTTCTCTGCCGGTGGGTGGTGGGTTCCCGGGCGGCGGGGGATTCCTGGAGCCAGGGCTGGTTGGAAGCCACGTGTGGAGGCCGCAGCTGTGTGACAGCCGCACCCCGATCCTTCCCCCCCCCCACCCCCAGGGCACCTGTGGGGCCTCCTGGCAGAGGGAGCACTGGCCCAGCAGGTGTCTTTGCACAATTCGGGGCTTCCCCGTCGCAGCGCCGCCTCTCCGCCGCTAGGGGCGCTGTGGGCCCGCCAGAGGATGGCTGGCTGTGGGCGGTGGGTGGCAGCTCTAGGGTTCTGTGCACAGGCTGCTCCTCAACCACTGGCTCCATCACACCCCGTACCACCTTCTGGTGCGTCTTACTCTGCAGCTGCCGCCGCTCTCCACGCCCCACCGCACCCCTGTGATGTGGCAAAACCCCAGCGCGCCCCCAAATCCACGGGCAAGCCAGGGCCCGGGAGGAGGGATGGTTAGACTGCGGGAAGCCAGGGAGAAGCCAGGAGGCAGCCGGGCGGGGACCTGCCGACGGATCAGACAGTTTTGAAAGACTTTTGTACAAACGTGTCCCTGTGAATGTTTCCCGAGAGAGAACTTTTTAAAAACGGAAACAGAATCCCAGAGTGCGCCCGGGGGGCCTCGCACTCGGCACGGGCTCCGAACAAACAGAGCCAAGGCCACTGAGCGTGGGAGAGAGGTTTTAGATGAAAACCTTTACTCAGTCAAGCAATCGTGGGAAGGCGTTTCTTGGAGGGAGGGGGCTGTTATGTTGTGACTGCAGCTTTGGGGGACTTTTCCTAAGGGGGGGGGGGGGCTCGGGCAGAAAGCCGGCAGGACGGGCTTCCTGCGATGACCGGGATTTTGCCGTTTCCTTACCCGCCTTCTCAGTGTCCCGTCCTAAGTCAACGGGCTCTCAATATGGAGTCTTCGATCCATCGAGGTTGTTCTAACACCCAAACGGACAAGGAAACATTTCTTCGTGTCGGCAAGAGAGAAGGAGGAACCCCTGTCTGTCAAAGGCAGAGTCCACCCTGGGGTGTGACCCCCGAGCCCCAGAGCCTTTGCCTGCCTGCCGGGTGCCTTTCAGTGGCCGTCAGCCCCAACGGGGTCCAAAACAGAGGCCTCGACCCTAAACCCTCTGCTTCTGATTTCCTCCTGCCCCAGGATGCCCAGCCCGGGAACAACACCCTCTAACCTTCTCCAGGTGCCTCATGGGAACGCCCAGAGAGGACCCCGAAGCCGTCCCTTTCTCTCCATCAGCCACCAGCCTCCAGACACACTCCCATCTCCCCTCTCTCCTTTCTGCGGAAGCTCTGGCCCCAACATGGCAGCCCTCTCCGTCTGCTGCCCTCCCTGCCTGTCCCTGCACCACGTGCTCTTCCCTCCCACAGCCCGAGTCACCGTCCTCAGCCATCAGCTGGACCATGCAGGCTTCCTGTTAACCCCCAGTGGCTCTTCCTGTTAACCCCCAGTGGCTCTCCGTGGCTTCCTGTTTACCCCCAGTGGCTCTCAGTGGCTTCCTGTTAACCCCCACTGGCTCTCAGTGGCTTCCTGTTTAATTCTCCAGTGGCTCTCCGTGGCTTCCTGTTAACCCTCAGTGGCTCTCAATGGCTTCCTGTTTACCCCCAGTGGCTCTTTGTGGCTTCCTGTTAACCCCCAGTGGCTCTCAGTGGCTTCCTGTTTACCCCCAGTGGCTCTTCGTGGCTTCCTGTTTACCCCCGTGATTCTCCGTGGCTTCCTGTTTACCCCAGTGGCTCTCAGTGGCTTCCTGTTAACCCCAGTGGCTCTCTGTGGCTTCCTTTTTTACCCCCAGTGGCTCTCTGTGGCTTCCTGTTTAAAAAACTCTCCCATGGCTTTCCGTGGCTTCTTTTGGGGGGAAAAAACCCAAGCCTGTGGGTGACCTAATCTCTGTCTTCCTCTTGGACCTTTTCCTTCCCATTCCGCTCACTCTGCCCAGCCACACTGGCATCTCTTCCTACCAGCCTTCCAAGAGAACATCGCCATCCTTTTCAAAAGCAATCGTCACTGTTTGCACGGCGAGGGCTGCCAGCACTGCTCACAGCGGGCCACCCCTCGGTCTGTGATGATGGTATAGTGATGGTGAGGATGATGGTGATCATGGTGATGGTGATGGTGGTGGTGGTGATGGTGATGGTGGTGATGGTGATGGTGATGATGGTGATGGTGGTGATGGTTTGGTGATGGTGATGGTGGTGATGGTGGTGGTGGTGATGGTGATGATGGTGATGGTGGTGGTGGTGGTGGTAGTGGTGATGGTGAGGACGATAATGTTGATGATTGTGGTGGTGGTGGTGGTGATGGTGGTGATGGTGGTGGTGATGGTGGTGATGGTGATGGTGGTGGTGGTGGTGGTAGTGGTGATGGTGAGGACGATAATGTTGATGATTGTGGTGGTGGTGGTGATGGTGGTGGTGATGGTGGTGGTGATGGTGGTGATGGTGATGGTGGTGATGGTGGTGATGGTGATGGTGGTGGTGGTGGTGGTGGTGGTGATGGTGATGATGACTGGCACCTGGGGAAAGGGGGTGTGCCTGTATGCCTCCGGAAATCAGTCATGCTTGAGGCACTACACTCCTCACACACGTTTTCTTTCCCTCCCTGGTCGTTTGGCTCTTTTCCTCCCTTCCTTATGGAAACAAAAATTACATCCATTTTTCATGTTTTGAAACTTTCTTTTAAAGTTGTATAAATACTCCAAGTCATCATACACCTAATCAGATAGATGCCGCAGCTGTGGGCATCTGTCATTTGTCAGGAATGTAGCGACAGCATCGGGGAGCACATCCGCTCCTGGCGGGCATGACGCTGAAGGAACCCATCACCACGGCAGGAGAATCGTTTATTTGTGAATCGGAGTGCTTCCTCTTTAGGTGGACTGTCCCCGCAGCATCTGTCATGACAGACAGGTCTGAGGGGCATGTTCAGCTGTCACCTCCGTGCCGAATGGACAGCCCTCGGCCCCTGGCTGTGCGCCCGCGAGAAGTCCTGTGAACCTCTGAGTGTGCGATCCTTAACCGTCAGCTCCCTGGGCCTGAGAGAGTGCCACTGACATACTCAGACAGAATGCTTTAGGAAATGGTTTCTGTGCGTCTTTAGTAGCTGTTTCTTTTAACATTTTATTCAACCTGAAGTTTTTAGCCTGGCTGACGTGGCTCAGTGGTTGAGTGACAACCTGGGAACCAAGGGGTCATGGTTCGATTCCTGGTCAGGGCACATGCCCAGGGTGGGGCGTGGGGCAGGGCTGTCCTGGGACCTTTGCACGCTCTGGCTCCTCCCGCTCTCCTGGAAGGACCTTGCCCTTGGCCCTTCCACAGCCCTCTCCGCCTTCAAGGAGGGGCCAAGCCTCAGGGGTTGGACCTGCTCAGTGGCCAGCGCTGGGCTGCCTCTAGGCCGCCCTATGGCGGGTACCAGGTCCGGACCAGCCCTCTGTGACCAAGGCACCGCCTGCAGAGAGTCACCACTGTAGCCAGGAGAGTGAGAGCTCACTGGGTGTTACACTGAGTGGCAATGGGCTTCACGCAAACTATTCACCAGGGGAAATGTTCGCGCCGAACCCCACACACTCCGACAGGCCTCCGTCCATCCTGCCTCGTCTTTCCTGTCAGTGTCTGTGTCATGCCAAGGCCACGGGAGATCTTGCTTCTAGGCAGCTGCGTGCACAGAGGGCATCTTGGGGGTAGCCCTGGACCTCCGTCTGTCTGTCCACCTGCTTCTGGAAGCTCTGGCCTCCAGGTCAGGCGACTTGCCTGGACCTGTGGACAGACCTCCCACTCTGCCCCGCGGGCGAGGTGAGCGCCGCCTGCAGCTGGGCCAGGAGAGCCCTGGGCTCGTGTTTTCTTTAATTAAAGCGAGAGAGGGTGCACACTTCTCTTTCCATTGATGGCACGTGACTCTGAGTAGCATCTGAGAGCCTGGTTTTGCTTGTTTGTTTGTTTGTTTGTTTTTAAGATGTTTTCAGAGGAAAAGGGAGGCGGAGACGGAGAGAAACATCAATGGGGAGAGAGAACCATGGACAGGCTGCCTTCGTCATGCCCCCACTGGGATCAAGCCCTTAACCCCAGCATGTGCCTTGACCGGGAATCAAACTGTGACCTCCTGGTTCACAGGTCAATGCCCAACCACTGAGCCATGCCGGCCGGGCAAACTCATAGTATTTTAAAAGCACGTTTTTTCAGCTTGTGCGTATTTATTTTTAGAATACATTTCTCTATTGGTGGTTTACCATCAACCCACTGTAGAAAGAGCATGACAGTGGAGCCC